TTTTTTTTTTTTTTTTTTTTTTTTTTTTTTTTTTTACAGTGACAGACAGAACTTATGAGACTGGATTATATTTTTTCAAACAGAAGATAAATATCAAAAAAAATAAAAAAAAATAAAGAATTGAGATCAAAAAAGAATTGAGAATCACATCCTTATTTTCTCAAAGACACAATACCTTCCTTTTTCTTTTTTTTTTTTTCATTTTTTTTTTATAGAATGGCCTAATGGAGTCTGTATTTCAATATTATGAGCTAAAAACGGTACAGACTGTCTCATTTACATCCCACTTATGGAATCTGTTCCACTACTGTTCGTAGTTTTTTAGTTGAGTAATCAGACTACTTTCAATTTTTAAACCATTAAGACTAAACATTAACAAACTTCTTTGTAACCAAATAACTATGGAAGCATAAGTTTGAATATCAGTTTTGTTGTTAAAAGCAAATTAAAAAATTTTTTGCAGAGCAAGGTTTGTTTGAACAACTACTTCATGACCATTTTTCAAAAATAAAAATTTGACTTTTTAATTGCTAAGTAGGTTGGAAATATAATAATAATTTTTAGCTAGAGGAAAACCTCAAAACATGAAATTTTTGATATACGTTTGATTTTCCAGATGTCTAATTGTACTGCAATTACAAGTAGTACAGGACGGCGAGTGAAGCAGCAGTGAAGCTGATGCTGTTTAGTTAAATAATATAAAGGAGAACATAATATGGGTTTATGTTCGTTAATAGCAAGGGTCGGATTACTTTTTTTTTTTTTTGATTATTGGTCACTATGAATGGCAAAAAAAAGTGATGGATATTTCTATACTAAACACGAAAAAAGTAAATGACAGATCACTAACGATAAGAAAAAGGAGTCTTTTACTGACCCTCCTCTATGCAATTTACTTTCCAAAAGAGTTCAGTTATAATTGTTGAAAAATAATGCTAACGGTTGTAAGAATATAAGACTCGGTGGGCAAACACCAGCGATGATACGCGTTCACAACCGTGATATAACAGACGTGTCAAAACCGTAACTTTTAGTAGCGGCCTGTTCCTCTTAGATTAGCATGAATACAGACTAACACAGACGACGGCTTGCCTTAACGGTTGAATAGTTAAGGTATTAGTCGAAATACGTAGCCGCCGTAGACACCATGTACTGTAGTCTACAAAGAATACGTAGTATTTTTGTGAATCACGACAT